ACACTAAAATTAATATTAATTTTTATATTTTTATATGTATATTTATAATAAAAAAATATTTTTAACTTATATATTAAAAACATATATTAAAAAAAATTCTCAATATTATTATTAACATGGATTGTTCAGAATTAATTTAATAAAATGTCAATTTCTTTGCCGTTGCGTAACGAATCAATCGTTTCCAATTCTCAATTGAGTTGATTTGGACGTACGTCCTTGTATTGACGTCGAAAGAAATGGCAAGCCACTCTGTTTTAGTGGTAGGTATACTCAGGCGGTCGATACAGTTTTGACTCTCTGTAAAGGCTTTCTCCACTCTGTGTTTGCTTTTCCAATCCATCGTGTTTTAGCTGTTCCAGAGGTATGTTGTTCGCGTCATTCTTTATTACGTTGGTTTCCCCAACAAAAAAAAAAGTCTCATATGGTTAAATTATTAAATAAAAAATAAGACTATTAATATTAAATTATCTTTCGTTTAATATTTTATATTTTGTAATTTATAGTGATTTAAAGTATAAAATAAAACATATATTAAGCTTGCAATTTTAGAAAAAATTTTCAATTTTCGTTTTTACTACTAATTTTGTTATTCTGTGTGCGAGAAATTTAGGATGGAAGTGGGCGGTGAAGCAGGAGGTGAAAATGGGATAAATCGACGCCTGAAAAATGATTTTCTTCCTGAGTCCTTCCGTGGCATGGGGAATTATGTCAAAGCACTTAGCGAGACTCCGCACCGGTTCATGGACCAGCTCCTGACCCGATCTCTGGAGACCACCGAGCTCCATGAGATCAAGGCCAGAAGCAACCATGAGATGAAGAAGAACCTCACGTGGTGGGACCTCATCTGGTTCGGCATTGGTGCCGTGATCGGCGTCGGCGTTTTCTTCCTCACTGGCCTTCAAGCTAAGGAAGTTGCGGGTCCTGCCATCATTCTGTCGTATGTGGTATCCGGTATCTCCGCTATGCTTTCCGTTTTCTGTTACACCGAGTTCGCCGTAGAAATTCCAGTTGCAGGTATGTACGTCAATTTCTTTTCTTTATACCTAGCATATTATTACTGCGTAAGGTTATCCAAGTATAGTGGGAGAGAGTCAAGCACTATACCTTTGATTCTTATTTATATAAAAATTAAAATCTTGACACATCCTCGTACTAAAATTACAGCACATTAACCTCATCCCAATAACACACGATGGATGAGACTCAAACCGAACTCTTCCTCATTTTCAAAGAAGATTTAGATTT